ATGTTTAATTCCCGTAAGCCTGGCTCGTAGGTAGAGACCAGTTTAAAGTTGTGCAATAATCCCGATACCAGGTCTTGTCTCTGTCCCTCAAACACTGAGCCCGCCTGTCTGCATCTGTACATTTCTGTCTTCAGTTTCTTTCTCGACTCATGGAACTCTGAACCTGTCTTCACACTCTGTGGATTCCTGGAACCCTGGATCTGTGTGTTCCTGTGTGGATCGGAATCCCCTTAATTTAGTCTTAGTCACAATGACAAAAAAAATCAATTTTAGTCTTTTCAATTTAGTCAACACTAAATAATAGAACTTCTCCACACACTGCTTCTCTTTTAATATATATGTATATATATATATAACCCTGTATGTATGTATATATATATATATATATATATATATATATATATATATATATATAACCCTAACCCTATCACACTGTACCGAATTAAACTTTTTCACACACTGATTCTCTTTTTAACATATATCCCACTGCACACATTGAACCTTTTGTCGGCTTGTTTCATCATATCCACAAAGTCTTCATCCTCAAACAGACTTCCCTTCCTTCCCCAACCTCTGATTTGGCTGTGGTGTCACTGTGTCAGGAATCTAGTTGGGAGGAAGAAATGTAAACCATTAATATCCAGTCTATCAGTAGAACATCTTCTATGACAGAGAGACACACACACACCTGTTCCTACTACTACAGGCCCACCCATTCCTTACTGTCTTCCATATGGCAGCATGTTGGCACATCAGATGTCGCTTGAGATGTGTGTATTCTTCCCTGCCATTTTGATGCCGCAGANGTTCCGTGAGGCCAGTGGTTTGAGAGGTTTTTAGTGTTTGTCTTGTCTCCTGATGGTGTCCTGGCCCCTAGGTGGGTGCATGTTTAATTCCCGTAAGCCTGGCTCATAGGTAGAGACCAGTTTAAAGTTGTGCAATAATCCCGATACCAGGTCTTGTCTCTGTCCCTCAAACACTGAGCCCACCTGTCTGCATTTGTGCATTTCTGTCTTCAGCTTCTTTCTCGACTCATGGAACTCTGAACCTGTCTTCACACTCTGTGGATTCCTGGAACCCTGGATCTGTCTGTTCCTGTGTGGATCTGAACCCCCTTAATTTAGTCTTAGTCACAATGACAAAAATCAATTTTAGTCTTAGTCAAATTTTTTTCAGTTTAGTCAACACTAAATAATAGAACTTATCCACACACTGCTTCTCTTTTTAATATATATATATATATATCACACTGTACCAAATTAAACTTTTCCACACACTGCTTCTCTTTTTCTCTATTTTATTTATATAACACTGTGCAGAATAGAACTTCACACACTGAATCTCTTTTTAACATATATCCCACTGCACACATTGAACCTTTTGTCGGCTTGTTTCATCACATCCACAGTCTTCACCCTCAAACAGACTTCCCTTCCTTCCCCAACCTCTGATCTGGCTGTGGTGTCACTGTGTCAGGAATCTAGTTGGGAGGAAGGAAACCATTAATATCCAGTCTATCAGTAGAACATCTTCTATGACAGAGAGACACACACACACCTGTTCCTACTACTACAGGCTTACCCATTCCTTACTGTCTTCCATATGGCAGCATGTTGGCACATCAGATGTCGCTTGAGATGTGTGTATTCTTCCATGCCATTTTGATGCCGCAGACTGTTTGGTGGCATCCTTCCTCCGGTGTTGTCCTTCGCCCTGTAAATGGAATGGCTCCATACATCGAGGCGTGTTTTCGCCCAGCTACTCCAACAAACCCTACACTGCGATTCGAGCCCAAAGCAATGACTGCAAAGTTGAGCTAGGCATATAAGCCCTGTGCTACTACTGACTTAGCGGCGCGAGGCACTGTGGGACAGGCGCCGTCTAGGGACAAACAGCGCAACAACGCGTAATCTTCTATGAAGCTGAAGAAACACTTATATTAACAATTACAAATTAATTATAAATGATTACATTTTTTAATGTCAATGGCTCGTAAATTTCGTCTGGTCTTGGTCTCGAAATATTTTCGTCATCGTCCTAGTTGACGAAATTAACACTGCTGCAGACTCCTGGATTCCAGAACTGTTCCTGTCTGATCTGTATCCCTGACCTGGATCCAATTCCTGCCTGGTCACCGAGGTCGCAGCTCGTTTGGCAGTCCATCGGCTGCATCCTGCCTTTTCGTAGACTTAACTGTTAAACCAGTTAAGTGACTCACACGGTGAATCATCTCCCATCACATGATTGTGGTCACTTATAAGGTTTTTCTCCTTCCAGAGGGTCAGTGATTGGGTGTTGCTATTTTTTGCTCGCCTTTGATCATGTAACTACGCCTCCCTGTACGGTGTATCCACCATCTTTATTTGTCGCTGCTCATATTACCCGACAGCTGCTAGTTGTCAGAACAAATCCCATGATGCTTTGCAAGGAGAGGACTTGCCTATCAGTAAACCAAACATTACCCACCATATTTCTGACTCAATAACCTTTAAAACAACTATTTTCATAAATTTCAGGCGGAACTCTTCACATACTTGTGACATACTTGTAACAAACTGCACTTCCAATATTCACCACTGGTTGGCACCATTTACCTTTTACCTCTGAGCATGTAGCAGTCGGCTTGCTTGGACTACGGAGGATACAGAGGACCTGTCCTTCGAAACGAGCAAAAAGGCGTATTTGTCTAGCGCATAAGGAATAGCCTTCCAATCCAAACAGGCCTTGGTGCCACGCTCTGGCATAATCGGCCAACAAATCTGGCCTTTGAAGGAAGAAGGTGCTGAATTCGAACTCAGCACACGGAATGATCACTACTTTTCAAGGTGAGTTGGGAAATTTTGAGTCCACTACTTTTTCGGATGCTCATTTGAAATGGCATAAACACTATATAGGGCCCTATATAGTGGTAAGGGCAGGGGTTCGTACACAGCCCCAGTCCAGTACTGTCCCAGAGAGGTTGACCCAGTTTTCTAAGCACTCTAATCTCTAATAAAATGGAGTGATCAACCATCCTGAATGCTGCACTAAGGTACATTAGATCATCAGTGTGGTTCTACCTCCATCTGTATTTAATATGTACATCATTAAACACTTTGAGAAGGGCAATCTCTGCACTGCGGTTAGCAAGAAGCCTGTCTGGAAGATGTTGAAATGGCTGGTCATTGTTAGGAAGGTGTTTACCTGTTGAAACAGCTTTTTTCAATAATCTTACTGATGAAGGGCAGGTTTGAAATAGGCCGGTAGTTCTGCAGTAGCAGTTTGTCAAAGTTAATTTCTAACAGAAGTTAAATAATTGCTGTTCTTAGGACCTGGGGGTTAACACCTGAAAAAAGGGGTGTGTTTATTATTTGAGTTAAACTAGATGTTATGATAAGTAGAGCTTTTTCAACTAAAGCTGTGGGTAAAAGATCAAGACAGCAGGAAGAAGATTTGTTGGTGTATGATTTTTCTGCCAATTTTTTGTATTTTTGGTGAAATTGGGAAATTTTATCAAGATCAAATCTACCTAGAGGCAGCTTTTTTATTGGATTTAATATGTATGTCCAGACTTCTTTTTCTGTGAAAATATTAGGAAATTTGTCGCAGGCCCTCATAGAGTGGAGTTCTGAAGTCACAGGAGGATTTGTTTCTGTAGCAAATAAAACCCTACCATTGATAATGTTTTAGCTAAGGGTGTCAGAAAAAAAGGTTCACTTGAACTTTTATTACTACAATCCTTACTACTTTTCCTTATGATGTGTCTGTGTCATTGGAAATTATGCCTTCAAAAATGACAGAAAAGTGTTCGGAAAGAGAAACATCAGCTACAGATACTTTGGAGATGTTTAGACCAGTGGTGTCGTCTGGGCTGGGCATTCACAGTTCTAGCCCCAAAGTTCCAGCATTAGCATACATTGTACGCCCTTTACTAAAAATATTAGAAATTGTATGCCCTGTTTTTGGGATGTACGACTTTGTTACCCCCTAATTTTCCCCTGGAAACTTCCCATACCCTACGGACAACTTTTGGCGGGAACAAACATGGGCTGTTTCAAAAAGCAGGTAGGTTTGAAACTTTGAAGTTCAGGAAAACTCATTGAATGTCTGATAAATATAGGATTATTTTTGCAGGGTTTTTTTGTTTTTCTTGGGACAATACTGTCCGTGGAATGGGAGGACAAAAGCTATCGTAAATGTCAACTGGGTGGGGAAACTAATCCTGCAACTTGACTAACAGTCAAGTTGCAGGATTAGTTTCATTGTAAGTTGTATTCTTAACAGATTAGATACACAGATATAAAAGTGTCTTGCCACCACTTTCTCTTCTGATAGTTTGCAGATTTGGTTGTAGTATTTGTCGACTGTTTTTCTGTTTGTCATTGATGTTCAACTTGTATATGTAACAACCAAGTTTCACCTTTAGCGGTAAGTTTAATTCATACTTTCTGATTGTTTGAATTAACCTATGAAACATAATATTATACCTAAAAATGATTGCATGTCTTCTTAGGAAATGTCCACCTCTAGCCAATCGTGCATACGCTCCATAATCAGGACAATAGTAGTGTTGCAACAAACACAAAAAGTTAGCTGCATTTCACCTCGACAGTATGAAATAGCGTTTCAGAGAGTGTTAACTTTCTTTTTGTCTTTGCTGGTCCAGTAAAACTGGATTGGGGTTGGGCTTATGCATTGGTGGGCAGCTTAATGAGGAGAAGAGCAGTTACTGGTTCTATGTGCTTGGACCAGAAGCAAACATAATCCACAAAGGGTCGACTTCTTAGGAAAACGAAGAAGGAATATCACTTCCATGAAAATGTTCTGTTGATTTTCTGGTCTGCTTCAGTCCAAAAGTCTTTGTAGGTGAAAAAGTTAGCTGTAAGTTGATTGTTAGTTATAAACGATGACATAGAAGATTTCAGAGCTACTTATTCATGCTAGGAGATGTAGTTCCAATCTGTAGTGAAGTGTCCTTCCTGTAGCTTACAATAACAAGTTTTTCTCCTTTGTCTTCCCAGACCGCCTGCTAGAATATGCTGGAAAAGAGGAGGATTTCTCTGAGCAGCAGCTCTGGAAACAGGAGAGGAATTCCAGTTTGGACCAAGAGGAACCAGAACCTCTGCAGATGAAAGAAGAGCAGCTAAAGCCAGAAGATCCCTGGACTAAAGAGGAAACCATGGAGCTCCCCATTAGTGAGCAGGAAGAGCAGCTAAAGCCAGAAGATCCCTGGACTAAAGAGGAAACCATGGAGCTCCCCATCAGTGAGCAGGAGGAGCAGCTGCTCCTCAAGCAGGAGGATGAAGATAAATGTATGGTGACTCCTACTGCTGTAGAAAAGGACCACATTAAACCAGAACCAATCAGGGATCAGCTCATCATTGAGGACTATAGTGAAACTCAGAACCAGGATTCAGAAGAAATCCATCAAGTATGCTCAGGATCAGAAAAGGATAAAGAGTCCACAGAGAGTAAGATATCTCAGAAAACCAAGCATAAAAACTGTGGTAGGGGTTTAAAGCATAAAAGGCATGAGGAAAATCACACAAATAACAGTGTTCACTGTTGTACAATTTGCACTGAGTCTTTTTCTCAGAAGAGTGACTTGGTTTTACACCTTAAAAGTCACAGTGGAGAGAAACCTTTCTCATGTTCGACATGTGGAGAAAGCTTTCTAAAGAAAACATATTTAAAGGTTCACATGAGAACTCACACAGGTAAGGAGATCCAAGAGTGTCCGACCTGTGGAAAAACCTTCCTGGCTAAATCTAGCCTTCAAGCACACATCAGAACTCACACAGGGGAGAAGCCATTCCCCTGTACGAATTGTGACAAAAGATTTCCTAATAAATGTAGTTTAACCGATCACATGAGCATCCATACCGGTAAGAACCGGTTTACCTGTGTGAATTGTGACAGAGGATTTTTTCATAAAGGTCAGTGGGCTCGGCACATGAGAACTCATACGGGTGAGAAGCCGTTCAAATGCATGAATTGTGACAAAACATTCACCAGTAAAGGTCATTTGACTGAACACATGAGAATTCATACAGGTGAGAAGCCGTACACTTGTGTGATTTGTGACAGAGGTTTTACTAAAAAAGATGCTCTGGCTGATCACATGGTAAGTCACTCAGATGAAAGACCTTTTTCATGTAAGACCTGTGGGAAAACATTTAAAAGAAAAGCTCCATTGAAAGAACACATGAGATCTCACGCAGACAGCAAGCCTTTTGAATGTCTGTCCTGTGGTAAAAGCTTTATTAGTAAATACATTCTTAGCAGACACATCCTAATTCACACAGGCGAGAAGCCGTTCGCCTGTACGATCTGTCAAAAAAGTTTTCCTCGTAAAGGTGCTTTGACTGAACACATGGTGACTCACTCAGATGAAAGACCTTTTTCCTGTGAGACCTGTGGAAAAGCATTTAAAGGAAGAAAGTCATTGAATGAACACATGAGAACTCACACAGGTGAGAGGCTGCTCTGTATGCTCTGTGGCAAAAGTTTTACTCACTCAAGTTGCTTGACTTATCACATGAAGATTCATACAGGTGAGAAGGCGTTCACCTGTGTAGTTTGTCACAAAAGCTTTATTCATAAAAGTGTTTTGAGTCATCACATGGTAACTCACACTGATGAAAGACCTTTTTCTTGTGATACCTGTGGAAAAAAGTTCAAAAGAAGAATGGCATTGAATAAACACATACGAACTCACACAGGTTAGAAGCTGCTCTGTAGTACACTGCTTAGAAAATAAAGGGAACACTTAAACAACACAATATAACTTAAATAAATCCAACTTCTGTTAAATCAAAGTGTCCACTCAGGAAACACTGCGGTTTGCCATCAATTTCACATTGTTTTGCAAATGAAATAGTTTACAGGTGGACATTATAGGCAATTGGCAAGACACACTCAATAAGGGATTGGTTGTGCAGGTGGGGACCACAGACCGGTTCTCGTTACCTATGCTTTCTGGCTGATGCTTTGGTCACTTTAGAATGTTGGTAGTTAACAGTCAGGTAGCATGAGTCAGACGCTACCACCCAGACAAGTGGCGCAGGTAGTGCAGCTCATCCAGGATGGCATTGCAATAGAGATTTAGCAATATATCCGGATTTTCGGCTTCTCAATAGATCGATCATTCAGTCATAGTATCGATTAAAAAACAAAACATCTTTACCTAAAACCATGAGGGAAAATGTGCTACCTTTGCACCGCCACTCAGATGGCGCTCTGGAGCCCTTTTACTGTGTGGCGCAGCGCCATCTCTAAGTTGAGGCAGTCACAGGGGAAGACCTGGGCCGTTTCTCAATATGTGTACTTGTGCATTGTCGTGTCCTCGTGAAACGTCATCAGCCTCAGCCCTAGTGCTATTCCAACTCACAAGAACAGCAGACCGAGAACGGACATAGTCCTTGGATGTTGTTCTGGCCCCTCCCTCTTTACCCAGCATGCATCAGAGCAGACTTGTCCGTTCTCCAGACTGACAGCTGTCCCAGCATGCACTGCAGCAGCAGCAGCTTCCAGGTTAGCGCTCACAGAGCTCAGAGTATTAAATTAAAAGTTCTCTTTTCTTCCGTTGTGGAAGGAGGAACAGGAGGAGCACTGCCAGAGAGCAGCAGAGTGTTCAGTGAGAATGTTTTACTCAATCAGATCTACGGTGTGTTTAGCGTTCCTTTTATTTTTGAGCAGTGTATTTTGGCACAAATTAAGGTTAAGTGATCACAGTAGAATTAACATAGATACGGAAGTGATTAGAAGTCACAGCAGTGAGACGTCACAGTAACGCACATGAGAGGCTGTTCTGTTTGACCTGTAAAAAAAAAGAAATGTCCATCTAGAAAATCCTTGACCTTATTGCATGAGAAAATCCCAAATCAGAGGCCTTTTTGTAGTAAAGTTAGGAAAAATATTTTCATTAGCCCAGTAATTTGTTTTTCTCCTGAACACTTGAATGGATGCAGTGAAATATTATAAAGCTGGTAAAATATTGAAACTAACGAATGCCAAAGAACTTGGTTTGGAGGCAAGAGTCTGTACTTCACTATTAAATGAACTCCTAAAACACCAGAACAAGTTTGTATAAAGAGCTAAGCTAAATTGAAGCCGTTGCTCTGTTTGATTTAAAGTTGTTTTTGCTGATCAGTTTGTAGTTCTAATCTTTCCTGTAAACTGAATTCTAGAGATATTTGTGTGTTAAAAAAAAACAAGAATCCATCTAGACCCACTTGTGCTTTAACTACTCAGGACTGAACCAAAACCGGTTGGCCAATCACGTTTCAGTACGATGAGTAAAGGCGGGACATTTGGCTGTCACTAAAGCAAGAGATGCTGAGCCTCTGGCTAAACAAAGTATTGATGGCAGCCCTGGAGGACACGGCTGCTCTCACTTCTGATTGGTCAGAATCCTTGGTTTCATCTTGGAAAGAACAGCAACAGGGTTACAGGTGTAAATAAATTAGCTTGGTTAGTCATGGTGCATTTGTTGGCCGTACCAGATTAGCTCAGGAAGTTCTGCTAAATGTTCCTCCTTTCCCAGAATGCATTGGATGGGAGCGAGCCCAGATGGATGATGTGTAAAACTGAATCAAGACCTCTTTTGGATTCATGATGTATTAAACTAACGCTGAGACATCTCTAGAAGTTCATCTGTTCTGCTTTTAAAAGTGTATTTTTTTATTTGAACTAAGTGTAATAGTTTTGTTCTTGATTATTTTAATGTTTACCTGCTAGGATTAAGGGAAGTTAGTGCAGTGAAGCAGTGTTCAAACGTCAACCCTAACCACTATATAGGGCATTATATATTGGTTATGCCATTTTAAGAGTGTCCCAACGTCTAGTGGATGAAAATGTAGTGGACTCCAAATTTCCCAAAATGCACCTTGAAAGGTAGTGATCATCCATGGTCAATAGACGGGCAGATATATCCCATGATGCTTTGCCAGGGCTGTCCTAGCAAAGCATCATGGGATTTGTTGTGGAGCAAGCACCGTGCTGAAAGGCAGAGTTACGTGACCAATAGTTAGTAAAATCAGTGATGATCTGTCTGAACGGTCAGTTAACTGAGTTCACTGTAAAGTCCACTCTATAGTCCCCGCTCTATAGAGGCATTGATGGATTTAGGGGTTAGGGCGGACGTTTGGACACAGCCTATGTCTGTTCATTACAACAAATTTTTGTTGCATAATTTTCTGCTTGGATTGTTTTGCTTTTGATTTTTGTATTAATGTTTTCACTTTGTGATTGATGAACCAGAGAACAATAAACTTTTTTTTATACATTTTCATATTTATCCAAAGATCTTTATTCATGTTTTCTCTGATATTTTCAGACAACTTAAAGCTCTGGTATATTATTTAATGGTATTAAAATGCCCAGATGATGATTAAGGGATTTACCTTCGCACAATAGTTATTTGTGTTCAATGTTCGGGGAATTTATTTAACTGTTTATTTCAGATTTAGTTTCAAATCCTGTCTTAAAATCTGTGTTTTATTCCCATTATCTCCTGCAGGCCAGTTAGTTCTACGTCAGCCTGAACACCTAAATTCGGCCAATCATATATCAACGGTCATCTGTCAATCAAAAGTTTTCGGTCATAGCATCTTGATTCATATGTCGCAGCTAATATACGCAACGGTTGAAACCAGAATCCTTTCCTTTCCCATTGAGTTGCG